CAACCCACCCTCCCCCGGCTGCTGCCCAACAGCCTCCACAAGGGCCCCCACAGTTGCGCACACAGGGACAGCCGCCGCCCCATAACCAGCACCCAGCCTCAGCTGCTCCCCCTGTGCCGCACTCGCAGCATCTCACGCATACCCACGCTACGTTATCACAGCATCATCCAGTCTTACAGGTATGGAACTGTTGCAACTTGCCCCCCCCCCCTCTCTCTCTCAGTCTGTCTCTCTTTCTCTCTCTCAATCTGTCTCTCTTTCTCTCTCTCAGTCTGTCTCTCTTTCTCTCTCTCAGTCTGTCTCTCTTTCTCTCTCTCAGTCTGTCTCTCTTTCTCTCTCTCAGTCTGTCTCTCTTTCTCTCTCTGTCTGTCTCTCTGTCTCTCTCTCAGTCTGTCTCTCTCTGTCTCTCTCTGTCTCTCTCTGTCTCTCTCTGTCTCTCTCTGTCTCTCTCTGTCTCTCTCTGTCTGTCTGTCTCTCTCTCTCTCTCTCTCTCTCTCTCTCTCTCTCTCTCTCTCTCTCTCTCTCTCTCTCTCTCTCTCTCTCTCTCTCTCTCTCTCTCTCGGTAAGAGAGTCCGTATCCCATTTTCCCCTCTCTAAGAGGTGAATGTTGTTTATTCAGGATAAGAGAAATGGAGTCTAAGTAATCAACCTTTTTTGTTCATGGTTGATACTCAAGTAAGTCTTTGCATTTATTTTCATGGAATTGCAGTTAATTAGTTAATTGTATTGATTTAATCCTAAACGAATGAGACCTTCAATTTTGCCTAAACGAAATTTTCAGCCAAGATATGTCTCGGCTGAAGAGATTGAAAGGATTTTTAAAAACTATTCATCACTCGGAATAAAATTAACTTCTTCTCTTAATCATTATTCCCTAATCCTATTTGGGAGAAATGTTACGAGTCTGATGAATACGTTGAAGGTCAGGGATTATTCAGAAAGAGGACTTCTGAGCATTGTGTTTTTATTGGGCTTTATTCCTTTAGGGGTTTGTTTTTCTTGTTCTCTGATGTGAAATGTGAATTGAGGGGTTTGATTTTCTCGCTGGGGTTCTCTTTCATAATTGCATAGTTTGTCATGGGTTATATCCACAGAGTTTTGGGGTCCAGATTGCTTCTTAAAGTGATTTGTGTACACGTGAGCTCAGACATGTTCACTTATTCATCTTTTGTAATATCTTTGCTTGACTTATGGGGGCTTTAGTTATTTTTCAAATTCATACACTTGTATCCCTGCCTAAAGGATATGTCCTTTAGTTTAATTTTTATGGTAAATCGATAAAAAAGTATCGTGAAAAATCAATGGGAAATTGAAATCTAATGCGCCATTGTTCAATGTTGATAATGTTTAATGCGTTTTCGTAGTACAACCCTTAATACTTTTACTATTATGAAAAAATCAAAATATATATTTTTTTCATTCTCAAAATCATAAAAAAGTGACAGGGAGGCTTGAGACAATTTATTTTAGGGAAAAAAACAAACACTCCCATTTACATCATTCCAAAATTCTGCTGAGCTACTGTCTGTTTATAAAAGGAAAACATCTGATCTATTGTTTTCTTGTGAAAATACTTATTTACATTAGATTAGTGTATATAGTGTTAAGTAGAGTACTCATTTTGTGTGTGTGCTTTTTTGTTTTTATGTAAACACACCTTGGGTATGGGATATAGGCTAACCTAGGCATGTCTGAATCATGGGTCAGGCCATGTAAGCAGAAAAAAACCTTTATGTAGGTAGATTTATAGAAAAAAAACCTTTATGTAGGTAGATTTATAGAAAAAAAACCTTTATGTAGGTAGATTTATAGAAAAAAAACCTTTATGTAGGTAGATTTATAGAAAAAAAACCTTTATGTAGGTAGATTTATAGAAAAAAAACCTTTATGTAGGTAGATTTATAGAAAAAAAACCTTTATGTAGGTAGATTTATAGAAAAAAAACCTTTATGTAGGTAGATTTATAGAAAAAAAACCTTTATGTAGGTAGATTTATAGAAAAAAAACCTTTATGTAGGTAGATTTATAGAAAAAAAACCTTTATGTAGGTAGATTTATAGAAAAAAAACCTTTATGTAGGTAGATTTATAGAAAAAAAACCTTTATGTAGGTAGATTTATAGAAAAAAAACCTTTATGTAGGTAGATTTATAGAAAAAAAACCTTTATGTAGGTAGATTTATAGAAAAAAAACCTTTATGTAGGTAGATTTATAGAAAAAAAACCTTTATGTAGGTAGATTTATAGAAAAAAAACCTTTATGTAGGTAGATTTATAGAAAAAAAACCTTTATGTAGGTAGATTTATAGAAAAAAAACCTTTATGTAGGTAGATTTATAGAAAAAAAACCTTTATGTAGGTAGATTTATAGAAAAAAAACCTTTATGTAGGTAGATTTATAGAAAAAAAACCTTTATGTAGGTAGATTTATAGAAAAAAAACCTTTATGTAGGTAGATTTATAGAAAAAAAACCTTTATGTAGGTAGATTTATAGAAAAAAAACCTTTATGTAGGTAGATTTATAGAAAAAAAACCTTTATGTAGGTAGATTTATAGAAAAAAAACCTTTATGTAGGTAGATTTATAGAAAAAAAACCTTTATGTAGGTAGATTTATAGAAAAAAAACCTTTATGTAGGTAGATTTATAGAAAAAAAACCTTTATGTAGGTAGATTTATAGAAAAAAAACCTTTATGTAGGTAGATTTATAGAAAAAAAACCTTTATGTAGGTAGATTTATAGAAAAAAAACCTTTATGTAGGTAGATTTATAGAAAAAAAACCTTTATGTAGGTAGATTTATAGAAAAAAAACCTTTATGTAGGTAGATTTATAGAAAAAAAACCTTTATGTAGGTAGATTTATAGAAAAAAAACCTTTATGTAGGTAGATTTATAGAAAAAAAACCTTTATGTAGGTAGATTTATAGAAAAAAAACCTTTATGTAGGTAGATTTATAGAAAAAAAACCTTTATGTAGGTAGATTTATAGAAAAAAAACCTTTATGTAGGTAGATTTATAGAAAAAAAACCTTTATGTAGGTAGATTTATAGAAAAAAAACCTTTATGTAGGTAGATTTATAGAAAAAAAACCTTTATGTAGGTAGATTTATAGAAAAAAAACCTTTATGTAGGTAGATTTATAGAAAAAAAACCTTTATGTAGGTAGATTTATAGAAAAAAAACCTTTATGTAGGTAGATTTATAGAAAAAAAACCTTTATGTAGGTAGATTTATAGAAAAAAAACCTTTATGTAGGTAGATTTATAGAAAAAAAACCTTTATGTAGGTAGATTTATAGAAAAAAAACCTTTATGTAGGTAGATTTATAGAAAAAAAACCTTTATGTAGGTAGATTTATAGAAAAAAAACCTTTATGTAGGTAGATTTATAGAAAAAAAACCTTTATGTAGGTAGATTTATAGAAAAAAAACCTTTATGTAGGTAGATTTATAGAAAAAAAACCTTTATGTAGGTAGATTTATAGAAAAAAAACCTTTATGTAGGTAGATTTATAGAAAAAAAACCTTTATGTAGGTAGATTTATAGAAAAAAAACCTTTATGTAGGTAGATTTATAGAAAAAAAACCTTTATGTAGGTAGATTTATAGAAAAAAAACCTTTATGTAGGTAGATTTATAGAAAAAAAACCTTTATGTAGGTAGATTTATAGAAAAAAAACCTTTATGTAGGTAGATTTATAGAAAAAAAACCTTTATGTAGGTAGATTTATAGAAAAAAAACCTTTATGTAGGTAGATTTATAGAAAAAAAACCTTTATGTAGGTAGATTTATAGAAAAAAAACCTTTATGTAGGTAGATTTATAGAAAAAAAACCTTTATGTAGGTAGATTTATAGAAAAAAAACCTTTATGTAGGTAGATTTATAGAAAAAAAACCTTTATGTAGGTAGATTTATAGAAAAAAAACCTTTATGTAGGTAGATTTATTGGTTGAGAGATATTTATTTATTATACTTTATGTATTATATGTTCTAGATGTTGAGTATTTTTCTTTAGCTAGGATTTTTTTCTCAATTTAAGATATCGTTTATGCATGTGACAGATCATTTTCTAGACACCAAAAATGGCTAAATCAAGTACCTTCTGGATCTAAAATTGATGAAAAAGTATGCAATTTATTGTAGAATGAAAAGATTACATTTGTTTTTTATTCAAACCCTTCCCAAGACTAAATCTACTTCAAAACTGAAAATCGGTTGTAAATTCATGGGAAAATTAATAAGCGAAGCATACCAAGACAGTTTTTGATAATATATCAGTTGAATACAATGCTCTGTCCATTTTTCTTAGAGAATATGCAGATTTGCAATGTATTTAGTTTGTTTATTTATTTATTTATTTATTCAATATTATTATTATATTATTATTATTATTATTATTATTATTATTATTATTATTATTATTATTATTATTATTATTATTATTATTATTTATGAACAACTGTAGTAAATCTCTCAAAATGCAATTTTTTATTCCAGAGTGGAGGTGTAGGTGGGCACGGCACAGGTGGAGTGGGCCAAGGAGTGGGTCAGGTTGGTGGAGTGCCACCTGGGCCAAGCCCTCAGCCCCCGGGACCGCCACACGACCTCAATACACAAGCACTCCCACCAGGTTCAACACAGCAAATACAACAAGGCTCAGGTTAGTAGATGCAAATGCCTTACAAGGAACATGTATGGAGACTGCAGTGACTGTTATGCCTGTGGTGGTATGTTCTTGAAGGGGAAAACTGTGTTAGATTTTTAATTCATTCTTTTTTTTTTTTTTTTTTTTTTTTTGAGCCTAGCTTTATGCTAGGGATTTAGTCCCACTGTGATGTAGAAGAGCAGAAACCGGAAATGGAATTGATTGTGATTTACTTGGATGACATCCAGTCAGTTGAGTTGTATTATATTTACACTGTTAGCTATAATAATTCGTAGTAAAAATATCAGTTCAGACAAAAAGTTGAATAACTTTATACTGAATTTCTTGATTACTATTCAAGATTACAATAAGATGCCAAAATTCTTATTCATGCACAGAGGCCTTTGATGTCAGTTAAAATGTTTCTTTAAGTCGTAGAAAGCACATCCTTTTCCTCTGCAGTGTTTGACTTAAATACATGAAGTCAAATGTTAAAAAAAGCTCCCCAGATAAGAACATAGTGCAAGCATATGGTGATTCAAAAAGTCTTAACTCTTCTCATTGTCTGGTTAAAGTAAAGAGAGAAAGAATGAAGATCAATAAGCAGTTTATGCAATTTTACAGTGTGAATAGATTTTCAAAAATGTATGCATCCCCCCCCCCCCCCTAAAAAAGGGGGGGGGGCAAAAGCTGTTGAAGGCTGACTTCTTATCTCAGCAGGACACTTCTTGTCATAACCTAAGTTTGTGAGGTGTTGGTGTGTTGTCAGTTTACTAAAAGAAAATCTCCATGATGATTTTATCTCTTCAGTTATTTTTCATATGCACTTTTACAGCAAGTATTTGTACAAAGTCTGGTTCTTAGTGGCAGTGCAGTGATATCTATTTTTCAATTATATACCAAAATATCTTGATATAAAGGAGATGCAGTACTAGTTAAAAGAAACAATGACAGTCAAACATCAGCTTAAAGTGTTCAAATATTACTGAGGAATCATCCCCCCTGAAGTATTTGGTCATGTGCCTGGCAAAAAAGGCGGAACCAGAGGGAGAGGCCAGTGAGGCCACTCATTGTAAGAAATTTGCTCATCATTCCATTTATTTATATTTTATTCTAGATATTTATACTGAGCATTTTTTAAACTTAATACAATTAGATATTAGTTAGTTAGATATTTAACATTGAACTTGGTTTTCACATTTCACCATTTTTTTTTATTATCTGCTTGATTTTCTTATTAAGTTCCTACAATTATGGTTGCTCTTATCATAATCAAACATGTTTCCACTTAGTAAATAAAGTAATAGAGTGCTGACACTATTGAATGGTGAAGGAGTCGGAGGGAGAATCATGGACCTTAGCAGAAGTCAGTTTTCAGGAACAAAATGGGTTATGGGTCATATGGACTCTACATTACAGGTGGATTGAACTTGCCTGTTAGCTTTAGGATAAGTTTTCAACCTGTTAGCTTTAGGATAAGTTTTCAACAGGAGTGCCAAAGAGTATAGTCTAGTAAACTACATCTTGGAATGGGAGCTCTTATTCAGCACATCGATCATCAGACTCATGCTCCAGAACTTGTAGATACAGGAGTAAGATCGATATCAGAGAGGTAGCTTTGTGATGTGTATTATTTACACAGTTAGATCATATCAACTTCTGGCACATAAGTGTAGAATACCAAATTAACATTCCGTAAAAAGGTGCAGTTATAGCTTAACCTAATTTGGTAGTAATTACCTTGTACTTTATTTATTTATTTATTTATTCATTTATTTATTTATATATTTTTGGGGGGTGGAAGGATTTTTTCTCTATTTTTAAAGCAGTAGATTTATAAGATTAAAAAATGGGCTTGACATACTGATATATGTGCTGCTAGTAACTATTATTTAAAAGTTATGCTGTGATACCCATTTATGATGGAGTCAGATAGTTCAGATAAGCCCCTTGCCATTGTTCACTCCTTAACCTTGATTTTCATAGTGAAAGATTATAGGCTTTGTTTTGCATTATCAGATGTAGCTATGGCATTTATCAGCCACTTTATCAAAATTAAGAAAAATGAGTATTCACAAATGGGATTCAGAGTATGCAGTAGGCTTTTTGTACATCTGTAAAGAGAGATCAGAGGGCTGGGCAAGGTATTTACTTAACATCAGTCCAGTCACTTGGTAATTAATTTCTAGAGTTTAGTAAAAATTCTACTTTACAAATATTTGTGTTTTTTACACCTCTCATTCATAAGAAAAAAATATTGAAGTTAAGCTCTGATTTGATTACAGCATTCTGATCAATTCATATATATTTGAAAATCTATATTGTATATTCTGATATTCATCTTGAGTAATACCAGGTATGAAATATATGCAAATATTACGATGATGGGAATATTTACATAGTAATAATAATATTTATTTGTGTGGTCTGGTATTTTTAAGTATTGTGTTTTAAATGAGGCTAATTCTCTGATACAGTAACAAAATTGCTAATGACTAAAAAATGCTTACATGTCATGTCATAAGTAGTCATTATGGTCCTTGTATGAGTTCTCACAGTTTTAACGTAAACTGGACTTCTAACACTATTTTTATAATTGAGAAAAATGTATGACCTGTAAATTAGTGTTAAAATGTGTTAGCAAGGAAGATTTTTTCAATTTTTATATATGGTCAAATTAGTTGAATGGCAGATATGTTTGAGAATATTTTCTTTGGGCATATAACCCATTGCCGCTGGGGAAAATGAATAAAAAATGGAGAAAATGCTGTGTTCATTTTTTATATTTTTGTGAAATGTCTGTGCACATAGATGGCTCTGTTAGTGCTTAGCCACAAAGGAGTCAATTAGTAGACCTTGTGACCTTACTTGATTGGAGTTGGCGGGAAAAACATTTTTTTTACATGTGCTATAAATATCAATGGTGTTATTTCTATTACACACACACACACACACACACACACACACACACACACACACACACACACACACACACACACACACTCTCTCTCTCTCTCTCTCTCTCTCTCTCTCTCTCTCTCTCTCTCTCTCTCTCTCTCTCTCTCTCTCTCTCTCTCTCTATTAGTAACAGAAAAATAAGATAAGTAAGTCAATGAAAAGGGTGAATGGGCAAGACAGGCAGTACTCGTAATTGGCTCATTAGTGACTTAGTACAAGTGTAGCCATCTATGTGTAAAAACAATCAAACAAGTAAACTCACAATGGATATGGCATACTTGTGCAAGTCATGCCCTTTGGCAATGGGTTACATGTCAGCATTTGCTGAGTTTGGTAGAGAAATTTGTATATTTTTATTGATTAATACAACTGTGGTGCATTCATTACCAATATTTTGACAATATTTTTATTAAGATTTTTTTCTTTTTATGGCAGGAGGGACCTTACCGGTGGCATCACACAACATGATGTACTCCACCACGACACAGAATCAGCCCCAGGGACCACAACCTAATGCTCAGGTAAGTGAGCCAGGCATGCTGTTAGGGGAGGGTGGATACTCTCCCTCAGTATGTACAGGAAATGTTTTAAGGAAGGTAGATGATGAAGGGGAAGGAGTATTAATGAAAGGAAAAATCATTATATAGTTATGGAAGATTTTGTGTTGGGCGAAGGGTAAATGTGCATTTATTACTGTTGATGCTGTGGTTATTTTTGTAGTAAATAATGAAAAGGCAAATGTATGTATGTATGTATTGTAAAGAAGAAAAGATTTTTATATGCCTCGGCAAATAGTGTTGTTCATTTAAAGAACCATTATACTAAATACTTTTCTTGAAATGTAATCTAGAATGATACATTGTTTTACATATATTGTCTAAGCTTTATTCTGGTACTGGAAGTAAAGAATAGAAATGTAATATAGCAAAGTGAGTAATTTTTGAAGCATTATTTTGAATGTGTGTGTGTGGGGGGGAGGTGCATGTGCTTGCAAGAGTGCATATGTACATGTGTAGACATGTATGCAAAATACTTTAAAACAGGAAAATCCTAGTTGGTGGCTACCAGGCTAAGCCCCACCTCTAAGCCTTCATTGAATGCAAGTATTATTTATTTTAATTTCTCTTTTTTTTCTTGATTTCTTTTATTTATTTATTTATTTATTTATTTAGTTTTTACCATTGTCATTACCATTTTCAAAGAAGATCATATGGAAAAACACTATTAAATATCACACCTAACTAGTCATCAGAATACTCTTGTATGTATCCTTTGTGTGTGCATGTGAGTGCAATTGTGCGTACCTGTATGCATGCATGAGTGTGTCTAGATCATCATAATGATTATTATCATTATTATTATCATAATAATATTTTATTATTATTATTATTATTATTATTATTATTATTATTATTATTATTATTTGTTATTACTCATTATTATTAATTATTGTTAATATCAATCATTTGTGATTATGAATAATGATAAAATTTGTGAATGCCGACGGGAAAATGCTGTGCCCATTTTAGAATTTTTTTGAAATGTCTCTTCACTTTAATGGCTCTGCTAGTGCTTAGCCACAAAGGAGTTAGGAGCCCTCAAAAATTTGTTATTAACCCATTGCTGTTGAGTACATGTAATGTTTACTCTAGTTTTCTTTTGTATATTGTGTTTGGACATAAATGGCTCTACAAGTGCTTAGCCAATAAGGACCAATTAACCCATTGCCACCGGGGATGGCATGTACGTACATGTCATGCCCACTGTGAGTCGACTTGTTCGATTGTTTTTACATATAGATGGCTACACTTGTATTAAGTATCCAATGAGCCAATTACAAGTACTGCCTGTCTCGCCCGTTCACCCTTTTCATCGATTTACGAAAATATTTAACGTTATCCTAATTTGCTGTTAAAAATAACAGCATCTATATTTATAACACTAGTAAGAATACGTTTTTTCCCTCCAATTCAAGGAAAGGTGAAATCAGGACTAGGAGAGCCATCTATGGACAGAGATATTTCACAAAAATATAAAAAATGAGTATTGCATTTATCCCATTTTTTGTTCATTTTCCCCGGCGGCAATGGGTTAATAGGCCTATGTGACCTCATATAATTTCCTTTTCCTTTCGTTTTTTGGGGAAAAAAAGCAAATAATAATGCTATTGATATTAATATTATCAACATTATGGTTATTCCAACAAAGCAACAAGATTTTTTTTCTCTCTCCAAAAATCAAGAAAAATTTAAAGGAAAAGATGAGATAAAGAGGACTAGTGATCAACTCCTTGGCAATTAAGCACTTGTGGAACCATCTATTTATAAAGACAATAGACAAAAAACACAGATGACATGGCATGTCAATTTGCCTTCCACCCTGCCTTCAATGGGT